CTCAGATCTCAGCCTCCTGAGTAGCCAGGATTACAGGTGTGAGCCACCAGCGCCCGGCTCCCTTAACTTTTTTACTCAAACCTTGCCTCTACTTTTGGCTTTTTGCTGGTTAATTGGAAATGAGTCTCATGAGCTTTCCTGCCTGGACTCACTTGAATGGTGATCTTTGGATTTTAACCTCCTGAGTAGTTAGAATTATGGATATGAGCCACCAGTGCCTGCTTCCACCACTGACATTGTATTACATATCTATCTCTCCATTAAGGTATCTTACTTTTCAAGAATCTCTCAGCACTCTCATGGAAAACTAAATTGTATTCAGAGATTATCATTTGTGTTTATGAGAGAGATGATGAACCAGTTTTGGCATCAGATATTGGTCTGTTACTGGCCTTATGATCTATATAGGAAAAGGATAATTTCCTTGTTTTATTCTAGAATGTTAATATTACTTCAGCACGTATTATGGTCTGATGGAAATCCTCAGTTCCTCAGCATGTGAGGGTATCAATGCAGATGGTGTGTTCACTGCTGCCTTTATCATTGACTTTCACATCACGCACTCAGGCTTCAATCACTTGTGTGTTTGTTGTATAGGAGTCGCCCATCGGAGCCAGAGCAGTGAGGGAGTTAGTTCTCTCAGCAGCTCACCTTCCAACAGCCTTGAGACGCAATCTCAGTCCCTCTCACGTTCCCAGAGCATGGATATCGACGGTGTCTCTTGTGAGAAAAGGTAACCAGAAGGCCATTCTCTCATGTATTATTTTACTTATGGAAAAGGACAGTTCTACTTTCCTTAGTCTCCATTCCAGTAGTCTAAAATGCCAGCCCAGAGATCCCTGCCAGCCCCTACTGAATTAGAGCTAAATTTCTTAAATTGAAAGGTCTTTATATCACTCTGAAATGTTCTTTAAGTATTTGTTGGTGCTTAATGTCTTTTCTGAAATAAATTGTGTGTGGTTTAAAAAAAAAGACACCCTCAGGGCTAATGTGTGACATGCAAGGAAAAAGAGAAGTGATGTCAATAATGGATGTGTGAAAAGCCCCATATGTGAAACGTTGATTAGGATATGCAAGGACAGTGGGGGGAAGAGGCCAAGAATCAAGCAGATCTAAAACACAGGTAAGCTAGACAGGACATGGTTAGAGTGAGGCCTATCAGGTTCTTGTATTATTAGGGAGAATGGTAAAGATACTGGCTAACTTTTAGACTTTGAATTTAAACAAATGCTAAAATTTCAAGAGTAACCATTAAAAGAATAATAATGCAATACAGCCTTGTCCCCCAACATCAAAAATATATTCCAAGACTCCTGATGGACATCTAAAGCCACAGCAATTCTAAACCCTTGTGTGTTGTTTTTATTTATTCTCTGCTACATTGCCACATAGTGTCAGAGTTCATCTTTGGTTCTGGGTTTTATATCTAGGTGCTTCCTTAGTGTCACTCTGTCTTGGGCTTTGTGACCACAGTTAAGTAAGAGTTACCTGAACAGAAGTACTTTGACCTTCCATCTGCTAACTAAGCTAAGTAATTAATGGGAAGGTAACATATACCATGGGGATAAGCTGGAGGAAGGGTAATTTACATTCTAAGGAGAATGATGGCATGAGATTTTATCATACTGCTTAGATGGCATGTGATTTCAAACTTGAGCATTCTTTCTTTCTCTCTCTCTCTTTTTTTTTTTTTT